GACTTGGTGCATTCCTAGACGTTTCGCAGGCATCGTAGTCGGCCTCATAAGCGAGTCTTTCCAGTCTTAGCAACCAAGCTACAACGCGCCAGAGACAAGTGAAGTCAATCCCTTGACCAACTGTCTTGCGAACCGGTGGTGTTATCACTCCTCGTACTGTCCGGGCCCTTTTACCATTTCCTAACCTCTTTTGTCTTCTTCTCGTACTACCGCAAACTTGTGACATGTTTAAATTCCACAAAAGGTGTGCCCTTTTGGCGAATTTACCCTGGCGTCATCACACCTTCTGTCTGTCTTCCTCCCCTCCCTTTCAAATGGCTTGTCCGACTCGATTCTCTTGTCAGGATCTACCTCATGGACCCGTTGATCCGTTTCTTATCTTTCCGGTTGACCGATTTCACTCGGTTCCAGCCTCAGTGTACTTTTATTCCAGGTGCTCATTCTCAAATATCCATTAGCACGTAAAATGTCGCTTCACATGAAGAGCGCATAGGTTCTCGTTCCAATGCTTGCTGGTATTAGGCATTGCCTTCAAGCATCATCTCCTTGATAATCTCCGTTTACCCTGAGCAAACTATGCACTTCTGTCTCTGGTCGCCTGCCTCATCTCGAGTGGATTATTAGTCAATTTAGTCATAATGTCCTATTTATGTGACCCAATCCCTCGTCCTAGTCATGGGAAACGTCAGGTCTCCAAAATTGTAGTTGTCTACTCGAGCTGATTGCATTCACAGAGAACATCTTTGCTTCATTTCCGAAACTTCCTTACCCTCTTCTTCCTTTGCTTGTCTTGTTTCAGCCCTGTTTACTCCGAGCTTGATTAGGCAATAGGCAAAGTTATCACTAACTATGCATTCCTCCAATCTCTGCTTCACACATTTTTCCCCAATGCTGTCAACGGTCTCCCAAATTTTCTGTTTCTTTGTGCCTTTACTGTATGAATCCCTTATTGCTGTGGCAACACGCAAATAAGCAAAGTTCATATGTCTGTAAGTCTAGAAGGTCAATGACAGATTAACAAACGCATTTTCCCATAGGATCAAAAACATAACATTGGAAGGAACATAATTACTGGTAAGTTTTGATATACAATCTATGTGTACAAACATTTCTGGAGAAAAGGCTCTAGCGGCACGTTCTCAGTGAAGGTAGTCAGCTCGAATAGACAACTACAACTTTGGAGGCCTGACGTTTGCCGTGACTAGGACGAGGGATTGGGTCACATAAATTGGACATTATGACTAAATTGATTAATAGTCCACTCGAGATGAGGCAGGCGACCAGAGACAGAAGTTCATAGTTTGTTCAGGGTAAACGGAGATGATCCGGACAGGAGAATCGAGTCGGATAAGCCATTTGAAAGGGAGGGGAGCAAGACAGACAGAAGGTGTGATGACGCCACGGTAAATTCGCCGAAAGGGCACACGTTTTGTGGAATTTAAACATGTCACAAGTTTGCGGTAGTACGAAGGGGAGACAATAGAGGGTAGGAAATAGTAAAAGGGCCAGGACAGAACGAGGATTGATTGAGCAACCGCTACGATAGAATGCTGGTCAATGGATTGACTTCCCTTGTCTCTTTGATGGGGCGTAGTTTGGCGTTGAGACTGGCAAGATTCACTGACGATGCCGCCGAAACGTCTGACAACGTACCAAGTCCATAGTCTGACTCTGGAGATTATCATGCATACTATGGACTCTGGAAAAGGTTTCTTTCTTTGATCTTCTTGCCAATATATCACCAAATTGCGAAAACAAGGTCAATCAACTATTAAGAATATATATTTAGCTATTAAGAATTATACTTTCAATTGTAGATGTATTTCATACATCCAATACAGCCTTTAATTCTTGCAAAACTTATGCAAACTATATAGCTCTATTAAGGGGTTTCTCTTCAATTATTCTCAGTCAACGTTTATTCTTAGGATATAGGCTTTCTAAGAATTTAGGAGTTTTGTCAATCGCCAGATCAAAGTTTCATCCGTATCATCGCCAAAACTTCCACCATTTGAGGATGAGCCCGTATGGAAATGCCAACTAATCTTAAAGCTTGTTTATTAATTTAATTTGCAATTAAGGCATTTTAAATTTTGTTACCTAGGCAAATTCTGGAAAATCTAAACAATTTGACTGGAGCTATTCCATACTTTGTAGGTTTTTCATAAGAAGTATGTTCTAAAAATACAGACTAATTAATGATGCTATCTTTTCCTTTGATTAATTTGCGCTGAAATACCATTTCAAATGAGGACATCAGCAAATATGCACGAAATATTTTAAGGCTCGTTCAATTATAAGCCTTAATTTAAACAAATATGGTTGGCCTAATATGGGAGAAACAGAATGGTTATTGAAGTGGGTTGACCTCGTTGTCGCAACTTGGTCTTGTTGTCTGCCATAGTAGTTGTTATGATTCCCAGCATCAGACAGTGGACTTGGTACATTCGCAAACGTTAACCCACTTCTATACATCAAAAGGAGACTGAGATTATACCAGAGGTCACAACATCTTGGTATTCATATCTTCAGAGGGGTTATTGTTCCAAGTGAGAAAGTGTGAGAAACTAGCTACTAGATCAGCGTTGCAATTTCATTAGAGATCGTCCTACTAATACTTTTGTTATATTTTTATCCTCGATTTCCAGGTAATCTATTATTGCATAATGATGCTGCTCATCAAGTGGACATATGCCA